TCATACGCAGCTGTCATCCGTATGCAAGGGAGTAAGCACAAGATGCCGAAAACCCTTAGCAGGATTCACCGCACCCTTCATGCGACTCGCCGAATACCTCAAGGCGCTTCGCGCTTGGTGATGTGAGAGCCTGGTCCGGTGAGAACCCGGCGTGCTCCGTCCCGGCTTTGTAGGGATGCGAGGTCAATGGTCTAACGACTACGGCATGCACGACTATGAGTACACCCCGCCCCCCTCCCCCCCCTCTTCCGGTTCTCTCCGGGCTATTAGTTTTCGTGATTTTCGGAGATGGCTTTGTGTTGACGTTGGGGATAGTTCTAGGGGATCACGGTTTTTTCTTCAGAGTGACCGGTATGCTACGCCATTTTCCAATGTATCGGGCGCTAATGAGAGCCAACCGGGTGCGTGTAGGTGGGAGGAGGAGGAGGGGTCCTCCTGCCTATGCGGACCCTTTGTAATGCACTGAACTGGCGTTCTTGGCAAGCCCCATCACGAAGGACCGGTGTCGGAAAAGCAGGCTTATCTCCTCCAACGCTACCGCCGAGACGAGTTTGTCGACACTCAAGATCACGCAATTGTCTCCTTTTTTCGTTACAGCCTACCAGCTTTCTGCCGGTTGCTCCACGGCAGATGGGAGGTTTCGTTGCTACAGATACCCGCAGCCCTAGGCTGCCGAGGCACACGTCGCTCCTTCGCGTTTTTGCGTCCAACCAATAGTTGGAGACTCGACCGGGAAATTTGCAGTACTGGGGGAGTGGCGTAGGTGGTACCGGGCGCATTCGCATCGAATACAGTGACAAACGTTTATGGTATAATAGTCTTCATCACGAAAGAGGCCAATCTATTGAGACATCCCGCCATCGACTATTTTTCCTACTTTCAATACACCCCGATACAGCTTTCTTGCGCGTGTTGGCATTTTTTGTTGCTATAGCGAAGCCCGAACTAATTAGTGCTTGGGTTGCTGTGGTATGTTCAATTGCCGCGCAAATATAGTGTTATCCGCCACCTGCCGTGGTGCTTTCTTGCCGTCCCTGCCGGTGTGTCCACTCTGTTGCCGACGTTCCCACGCCAACACGGCCGCGTCACCCCGCATCAACTACACTTGCTCCGGTCGGCTCTTTTCTCCCAACCGCCGTGCTTTCGCCACCGCTGGGACTACTACCGCTACTACGACTGCTACTGCTACTACGACTGCTACTGCTACTACGACTGCTACTGCTACTGCTACTACTACAACTGCTACTGCTGCTACTACTACTACTACTACTACTACTACCACTACGACTGCTACTGCTGCTACTATTTCTACTACTACTACGACTGCTACTGCTGCTGCTACTACTACTACTACTACTACTACTACTACCACTACCACTACTACCACTACTACTACTACTACTACTACTACCACTACCACTACTACAACTACTACCACTACTACTACTACTACTTTTCTGCTGCTGCTGCTGCTGTCACCTCTGAAAGAGTTCTGCCTGGCGCACTCGGGCTTGCTGCGAGGGAAGAGGGTGCTCGAGCTCGGCGCGGGGATCGGCATGACCGGCATGGCTGTGGCCGCTTCTTGCGGAGCGGCGGAGGTTGTCCTGACGGACTACGCGCCCAGGTACGAAGAGTTTTTCTTTCGTTTTTTTGCCTTTTTTCTCCCAATCGACTTCTTCAGAGATTTTAAGATTGACCAAAACCATTTCGTCCTTTCGATCGGGAGAGACGGATTCTTGGAACCAAAGTAGATTTTGTTTCTTTTCGTGGCATGTTGGTGGTGGGTGTGTTCAACGAAAATGATTGAAATCGGTGACAAGAACGGACAACTTTGTCTGTACGGTCGCCTTTGAGAGCAGATATTTTTTTAAGCTATGAAGTCATTTTCGACATATTCTCCGAAATTTCCAACGAAACGCCTTCGAGGGCGCACCTCACTGCACGAACACTGCCGCCACCACAAACGGTGTCCCCCCACTCCGCGAACGCGGCCCCTTCTGTCGCACCTCCTGCACACCGAAGAGTGCTCGCTAACCTTCACCACAACGTGGAAATCAACCGCGCGCTGCTGGGAGCTGGCGACGGTCGGAGCAACGGTGACAACGACAAACCTTCAACAACACCTTGGGGCGTGTCCGTCCGGTTTCTCGACTGGACGGACTACTGCCGCCACAACGCCTCCTCCGTATCGCCAGCCGGCGGCGGCGGCGGCGGAGGCGTTCGGGCCGACGCAACGAGCGGCGGAACTGCCGACGGCTCGCGACCTGACGAGGACGACGATCGCGGCGGTAGGTGTCTAGGAGGTGGCTGCTCCTGCACGGCGGCGGCGGCGGTGGGAAGTGGAGAACGGTGGGCGAGATATACCGGGACTCGACGAGTCAATGAGTGCGGGGGCGGTGAGAGCGATTCGCTGGGTACGCCGGAGGTGGTTCTGGCTGCGGACGTTGTGTACGACGTAAAGTGAGAATGTTGGTGATGTGACGTTTGCTTGGCGGAAAGATTATTGTTTGGTCCGTTCTGTTTCGTGTAGTGGTGTCGGCGCTGATTGTGTGCGTTGTACGGGACGATGCCTCTCTCCCATGATCACCCCATTTTTTTTTAGCCACGCGGTTTCCAGCCTTTTAAGATATCTCGACCGCTGATTCCTTGCACCATGCCTTGGATCGTCGTAGGCTTTGCCGCACGAACGACCGTACACTACGTGCAGCTCCTCTGAGAGACTACGCCTGGCACAACTTATCTAGTAGATGCAGCTTCCCTGAGAGACTACGCCTGGCGCAACTTAGTTTTCCCCGACGCTCGCTGAGCTTTTTCTCTCGCAGCTTGCGGCGAGGAGACCCTGGTTGTGCGGCGCGTTTGTAGGGTGATTGCTTTTCGTTTACAAACACAGGGATTGGCGCTGGGCTAAAGCCCACAGTAGAGCTCTCCAAGGGCAGCTTTGACTCCTGAAGCACGCAATTCCGTGTTGAGATTTCTCAACTTCGTGAGCCGTCCGCTCTTGTTGTTGCCTGCTTGTTGCGCATTCCATTCGCATTGTCAAACGTGCTCGTTTTTGTTTGTGGTCTGCACGCTTCCACGCACGCGCGCTCTTGTTCATTTGTGGTTGACGGCGGCGGCGGCGGCGGCGTGGTTTTCGGTCGGCGGGGTGGGGTAGGTATCACTCCGCGCTCGTTGGAGTGGTGGTAGAGACGCTGCGGAGATGCCCCGACGCCCTCATCGTGTTCGCGTCTACGGTAAGCGGCCTGATCGTGGTTGTTGTCGTCTCGTGTGCGCGCAAGTGTGAGCCGTCATCGACATCGCCGTCGTCGTCGTGATTGCGGGTCGTTGCCATATTGGAGGTAGCTCCAACCCCTGGGAAGGGCGCGATGGTGTCGAGAACGGCGCGTGGAACGTTCCTCTAGGAAGCTTACGACGGAAACGTGACTTCGAAACGTGGATTCGGTCGTGATGTGTAGGCTCCCTCGTCACACTCGTTTGGCAACCGAGGTTGGACACTCTGTCCGGGGTGCGTTTGCTTGTCGAGTACGCCGTGTTTGCGTGCCATCGCCGGCTGTCGTTCTCGTCACATCGCACCACACCCCACCCCTGGCTCCATGCGGGGCGTGATGGGCTCGTGCGCTTGGGAAAAAAACTGAACAGCGCTGAAGGCCAGCGGACAAGACGTATAGTTGGAAGGCGTCGAATGAAAATGTTTATTGCGATGACAAGTACAATCGCAGCAGGCCGGGTAGCAACACCGGTAGAGGCCGCGATCTGGAAAAAAGGAGGTACGCGCTTCCAGCCTTCTTCGGTCGGTTAAAAGATGTGTTAGAGGAACACAGCGTTCAGGTTCTACATTAATGAAGTTTATTGTCGAAGGGGGTTTGGGCATCGGTCTTGACTACGCCCGTGGAAGATATGTAGGACTGTCGGAAATAATGTGGACCCTGACATCCCCTTCGAAAACGTGAGAAGACGAAAGGAATGCCTCGGCATGCAGTGAGCGAGAGTGTTTCAACCAAAACTGTTTTTGCCGGGACTCGCTTCTATGCCACACCCGGCGGAATTTAGTGCGCTTTGTAACGTAGATACTGAGGATGTCCGGCGGTAACATGCTTCAGAGCACACGCCCGCGACATCCAGCACATCCCTAAACCTACTCCTACCCCCCTCCCTTCACGGCACTCTCCATGTGTTCCCAAAAAGCTTCGCAACTCCGAGACAATGGCAGCGTTTCACCGGTGCCTCGAAGACGCCGGGGTCGCATGGCAAGGCGTGGGTTTCCCTTCCTCAGAGGAGGCGTTGGCGAGCGAATCGGAAAAGTCGCCGCCGTTTCGAGAAAGGGTGCGAGGGGAGCCCGTGTCGAGCGGTAGCAGCCGCCGCCAAGCGGCTCTGCGGGGATCGAGTGGTGCGGACTCGACAAAACTGTTGTGGTGTCACCCAGGAGACTTGGAGCGGGTGAAGTTTTGCGTGTGCGGGCGGGGGCGAGGGCTTGTCGAGCCCGTATAGGGAATGTCTGATTGTATTTCCATGCATCGGTGAGGGAGCCAGGGTTCAGCACCTTCCTTACAGGAGCTGTATAGACGTAGGGCAGTCTGACTGCTGCTCGTCTGTTCGTTTTTCCATGGAATCCAGTATCCAACCTCACCAGCTGCACAGGCACGGTCACCCACATGGCTGGGCGTGGTAAGAAGCTGGAGCCTGGAGGACGTTTTCGCACAATAATTGACGTGGAGTTGGATATTGGAAATACGAATTATGCGCGTCCACGAACTGCGGCGCGCTGCTCTTTTCTCGAACCTTTGCTGCTTGCTCGAGTACCGTCGGCCACGCTTGGTACTCCACGTCGCACATGTCGGGAGAGAACACAAGCCTGCGTTTGTGGACTGTTGAACTATGTGCTTCAATGTAGGCCTTGGCTCGGTAGAGTTATGGGGGTGATCAGTGGCGTTCAATGAAGACTCGGTCCCAGACCACCCTGCAGATGTTCAATGTGCCACGCGTCACGAGCAACTCGAAGAACACCCGGGGTCAAGGCCGCCGTAGCGGTCTCCCGACTCCCAGACAAAGGGACAGCGGCCAGGCCGTGAAATTTGTTGGTGCTCTGGTGATGGTAGCATGGCTGCTGCCTCTTCCTTCTGAGGGGGGAGGCGATGATCTGGCCTTCTCCCCCTCCAGCGTTGTGATCGCGAGCCTGGCACATGTTCGTCTACCGGGTCGCCTGCAACAGTGGAGTCTCTGTCGGGCGTGAGTGGCAATTTCCCTAACTTTGTTGAATCAGGGTTCTCACGATAGGGCGTCTTGTCCCTTCACCAGCGAAGGACGATTTTCTCCCGCGAGAGGTGGTGAGGAAGGTGTACCCCCGAAGACACCGAAACCTTGAACCACTAAGAGTTGGGGGTGGTCTCACTCGCGTACACTTTTTTGGTGGACTTAGATGACCCCTCCCGGTCACGTTGTGTTGCATCTGGAGATGTGGCGGGAGAGAGAGAGGAGGGCGAGAGTGAGAGACAGAATACAGACAAACGGACGGACGAATAGAGGGGCGACGGAAGGTGAGGGAGCGAGAGGGGAAGGCGTTCTTCCCGCTGGGGTAGTTATTTCAGTCGTGCTTCATACCATTAAGGGGATCTCTCGTTTGTCCTGCTGTCTGGTCGGTTACACGCGAACGTAAGGATCGTATTTTTCGGGTCGTGCGGAAAGCTCTGGAAAGCGCGCTCGCTGCGCGATACCTGCGTTCTTCTTCTATCGCGCACGAGGCGCAAAATGCATGGACAAGAGCCATGTTCGTCAATCGAGGATATCCATTGAACCCCCACTGCAGATGTTTTTCGAAGCGAGCGAAGCCTTCCAGCCTCTACATACGATTGTGAAGAGGGAGAGTGAAGGTCTGCAAGCCGATCCCAGCTTCACTCTTGTAACTTCACAACATATGTGAAGCACAGCTCGGATTTTTTACCCGTTGGCCTGTCTGTTACTGAACAACTCCGATAAGGGCCAAACCGGAGGATCTTAATATTCCCCTTGTGAACTTCTTGTTTTTGCGCGACAAGGGGTCAGCAGAGTGACATTCTGTCCGTGATACGTACAGCAAGCAGCTTAGGGTTTGTATTGAGTGTGACTGCTATCTCGAGTGAATTTTCGGAAGCCGCAAGTCCTCCCTTCATGGAGCTTTGCTTTCATCATCATCCCTGCTTACTGCTGCTATGGTTGTTCGTAGTGATACGAGAGTGAAGGTGATACCACACCGGCGGCGAAACTTTCCGTTTTCATTCGTACGTCGTAATTTGTTGTAGCCTGCATTCCCAAAAAGTGAAAAGATATGTTTTCACTTCCCCTCGTGGGACCAACCGTTGACAACTGATTGCGTGGGGCATCAGTGACGATCAATCACTCAAGGAAATCGATTGCTACTGTGAAGAAAAACAGTCAAACCCTTGCCGTGGAGGACTGCATCCATTTTCGTGGACAAGGCGTGTGACAAGCACTCGTTTCATGAGTGAACATGAACGTCATTTGGGGTATGTATGATACTACAGACGAAGGGGGGTATTGAATCGGATGGTCGTACATCGGAAAACGTTCACTCGACTTGTTCCGTTGCTAGCGAACGAAGTGGCGTTCCATTTCGCTTGGTGGGTACTCCTAGGATTTTGCGTCTTGGTGGGTTTGGCCGATTCAGGAAACTTCACAAAACTAACGAACAGGGTTTCGCAAAGCCCCACCAGCCTCAAGGAAACATGCCCTCCTACATATTCGTGTGAGTTCATATTATTTCTCACGCTGAGGTCGGTGTGGTGCTTGTGATGGTCGTCCAGGTGCCGCTTTCACTCCCTCCATTCTGTGAACTACATATATGCTGAGTAATCTGGGAGTGGGCTACGCCAGCGCTGCGAGATATGTACTTCATTCAGCCGCCGCATACACGCCCTACACTCCGTGAAATATTGGTAAAAATACTGGGAGTGAGATGCAATGAACGTCGAACTCAGCGTTGGTCGCTATATCATCACTTCAAACCGATATGTATTAGTGAGTCCGTAGTACCTGTTGGGCGAGAATACGGGCGCCAACAATACACCAAGATCTCGTCACACTGCGGTGAACCACGATCTCTTCGAAACACTTCTGGGCGACGCACTACTTTGTTTGGTAATTTGGCACCTTTCTCTGCCCTTTTCTCCCCAACCTTCTGCCCGGACTCAAACAGGGACCATCCTCGTTCCAACCAAGGCCGGACATGGTCCCTTGCAATGAACACGTCTCATGGATGCCTGCAATGTTGTAGGCAACATGGTATCCCTACGCGGGACGCTGAGCCTCCTGGTACGCGCGCGCACTCGATCTCTCTACATGAAGCCGACGATTACGCGAAAAACTCCCTCTTCCGTCAGCCCCACCAGCCTGGCGCAGGCACCGACAAAATCGGGCCGGAACTCGATCCTGCCCACGTCACCATCGTCATCCATGGGGACCTCGATCGCGCAGCTGCTTGAAGCTGCGGTGGCGTCGGTTGAGGCGACATGCACACCGTCACCCACATCAACACCACCTAGCAACTGTCGGTTGGACGCTGCGACGGTGATCATGGCGTTCGGTCCTCCTCCCGCTGGCGTCGTCCTCGGCATCTTGGCTGCGTGTGTTGTCTCGATGTGAGAATCACTGCGGCCGGCACTGCTACGGCTGGTGGCGGTGGCTTTTCCATGCCCTGGCCCTTGTTGAAGAGTGCCCGCCGTCAATATGCTCTGCGCTTTTTCAGTTCGCAAACGCCGAGCTCGGCACATGACCACTAAGCCTCGGCGCCGCCAGGCCCTGTCCTGAGGTGCCCGCACAAGCAGACGGCGGACGCGTTGTTCTGTCTCCTCCCGCTGCTCTTCTGACAGCACCTCTTCGGGGAGAAAAGTGCTGATGACTTCGACTGCACGGCGTTTAGGCGACGGGCGAAAGTCAGTAACATGTTATGGTTGAGACCACGTCCGCCCACAAGACTGTGAGGTTGTTCCGCGGTAAAGACGAATTGTCTCTCCCGCGGCGAGGAAAAACTCGAATGAAAAACCGTTTTTGGATACATGTCTAAAACGACGTTTAAATGCATAAAAAAAGAGAAAAAAAAAAATGTGATCGGATCGCCTTGATTGTTTTTTTCACCGCGTTGCCGATTTCGGCGCCTCCATTTCTCCTCGGCAATCGATTCCGCTTGGCCGATTTAGAGGGTGTAGAGCCACTCAGAAAGTTGGTCAGACAAAAACTCGACGTGGGAACCGAGAATCCAAAATCCCAGGAATTTTGAAATTGCTCAGCTACTGTCAGCTTTTGAGCAGCTGAAAGTCAATTGCAAATCAAAACTGGGGCATTCCAACAATAAATCAATATATTTGTGATCCCCACCCCAAAATTACCCCAAGTCGAAGTCAGGAGAGATTGAATCAACATGTAAAAAGTGTTGCGGGAGGGGGGATATTTCAGTGTAATTCCTAGCAATTCCAGGTTATCCCTGCTTTCGCGCATATATATCAGTGTGTAGCTGTATCACGGCCGCATCGATCCTGATCGAAATTCTGACGACGGATTCTTGATGTACAACACTACATTACCCTAACCTGAAAATTTTACACGATTCGGAGGCGTTTGCAACTTGCTCGGGGGGGCCGCAGACAGACGCGATTTTCACCCAATTTTGGCCACTAATTCATCAATAAGTCATCATGAACGGAGATGAAAGGGCTTTTCCAACACGGAGATGTAGCATGGATCAAAGCATTTGTTGGATTTCAGCTTTTACAAGCGAACATCAACGCAGTAGTATTTTAGCAAGCTTACGAACGCATATAGGATACCATCAGGATTGTCATTGGTTTTATTTCAAGTTGAAGAGGAGATACTTTTACGATGTAAATGACAGTAGAAATAAGTCCTACATATGTTGTTGTACTTCGTATTGGTTTAATATTCATGTAGAGTATGAGACATTAAGTGAAAGGTTTCTGAGGTACATCTGCAATTGTCGGAAGGCAAAAATAAATAAATAAATAAGTCATCACCACGACATCCAAATGGGAAAATAAGTATATTTTCGTGATCCTCGTGACCTAACGGATGTTAGTACAAATTTTCAGAGGTTGGGAACCATTTCTTGTTGCTCATTGAAAAACTCGTGGGAACTATTCGTCTTTTCCGCGGAACACCGATGTGGTGGAGAACTGGAGTCAAAACCAATCACTGAGTGGTGCACAGAATCATTGCTGCGGAGGTCCGGGGTAATTGCAATCGTGCAAACAAAGAATCCACTGCGAGAGCTATCGGCATTGATTGTTGGGATGGTGCGAAAGACTATATGTTGTAGTCCTCACCGGTTGATGCATCCACAATGCTGACCGGCCTGTTCATGTTGTACTCTGGAGAGCGAAGCTAGTGTAAGATATCGCGCTTGCTTCCGTCGGGATTCCAAACAATTTTCTGAGTAGTGGATTGGCCTCCCTGCTCGTAGGTTGCCAGGCGCGAGCACTGTCAATGCAGGTCGAGCTGTACGAAAAAGATCCAGGAAGCTCTTTACATGGAAAGAGGAATTATGTTCTTACCTGGGATGCGCCCGCCACCGTCGGCCTTGGTTTCGTCGGCGCCCCATCTACGGGGTCAAATCGCGTGCAGTACGAAAAGCAAGCGTCAGCACAGTGTTGATGGTGCCCTCATGTGCAAGAAGAGAGATCGGCATCAAGGTGTACGCCGACCCCGTGTTCCGACGACCCCCGAGCCCTCGATTACATCGACGGTCGCGAAGGGCTGCCTTCACGAGGATTCTATTGTTGATCTATGAAATAGAGAGGGGGCGTTTGTGTCCCTATCCGTAACACAAACCCTACCCACTAACCCCATCCGTACCCTCTACAAAAACCATGCTGAATACCCTCACGAAGGCTACTGGTCACCAGCCAGTATAATCCTTGAGAATGGTACCCATATGCTGCGGCCATTTAGTCTACTTTTGTTACCTCGACGAAAGACAACAAGCTTGGTGCGTCGGGCGGACTTCACCTCAGCAGGAGGTCCACGATTTCGTCGGCAAGGTATTGAGTCGCCATGTGAAGCGGGTACTCTCCGGCCGACTCGCGGGCGTCCATCTTTGCACCTCGCCTCAACAGTTCGAGGACGACATCGCAGCAGGCGTTGTACCTGGTGGGGGCCAAGAGAGAGCAAAAAGGCTGCTGGTTGGAGGATGTCAACGAACTCGTCTTCCTTGCCTGGTCACTGAGGCTACTGAAGACAAGATATCAGCACACAGGCAACAACCCAAAGTCAAGAAGCAAGACCGTAGTACTGGCACCACACGGCTGGGAAAGAAAGAGCGGGCGACGTGAAACTACAAACCTGGCGGCGCAGTGGAGAGGTGTCCACTGATGGATGTCTTGCGACTCCAGGTCGGCGCCGGCAGCGATGAGCACGCCGACCGCGCTCGACTGGTTGTTGTCTGCGGCCATGTGAAGCGCCGTATAACCGGTGGGGTCGACGGCGTTGACGTCCACCCCTTCGTGATGGGCCAGAGCTTTCAGGACGCTGATGTGCCCGTGCGACACGGCCGAGTCGAGGGCCGATAGCTCGTTCTCTCCGTGGCGAATGTCTGGGTCGGCGCCAGCCACCAGGAGAGCGTCTATCGTGCCACGAGCACCATGCTCCGCGGCGACAATCAAGGGTGACTTTCGCACGGCGGAAATAAAACGACGGAAACAGGGGGGGGGGGGGGGNCGCGAAACGCCGTGAGATACTCGGCGAGTCGCATGAAGGGTGCGCTGCATCCTGCTAAGGGTGTTCGGCATCTTGTGCTTACTTCCTTGCATACGGATGACAGCTGCGTATGACTTAACTTTTTTTCTGGTGCTTTCACTTCCCGAGACAGTTGGAAGCACTGCGTAACTGCCTCGAGGGTGCTTGACCATTTCAACACAACGTGGTGCGATCATCCCCCTTGCGCGGAGTGAGGATTGTCCACCCCGCACAACATGATCCACTGGACCACCATTATGGTTGCCGCCAAAAAAAAAAACGGTATCCTGGTTGCCGAGTTCACGAAGTGAATTGGCTTGTTTTACAACGTCTTTGCCAAGCGACGAAAACCCAACCCCGATGGCANGCTAGTGGCGCCCGCCACGACCATGTGCCCCACGAGACCAGCGCGCGGGGGGCAGGAGGGCGACCCAGCCGGGCTCTAGCTACCATGAACGCCTTTGCACCGTTTGGAACACAATAATGCAGGAAGCCACCACTCGTGATTTGCAATGCTGACCTACCTCCCCAACACTCGACGCAACTGGCCTACTCCCGCCTTGTGTCGGAAGCAGCGCCAGAGGAAGATCTGTAATAGACATGGTATAACAAACCCCTGACGCCAGTGTGTGCATGCTATAGCAATGCGAGGAGTTCCCGTCCCCTGAGCATTCTTACCCGGCCCAGACTGTCCAGAGCATTCTTGTCACCGCCCTTGAGAAGCAGTGCGCTTGCGATGCCGGCACGGCCACGCCAAGCAGCGAGATGGAGGGGTGCGTCTCCCTTCTTGTCCTTCGCGCTGGGACAAGCCCCTCCGAGTAGTAACGAACACACGAGGTGTTCGTGCTCGCCCCTTTCATGTGCACAACACGTTTCTCGGGGGGAAGAAGAGAGGTTTGAGCAGTCCAGATCACAGCGGATTGAGAGAGATTCAACCACGTTTCGCCTTATCTTGGAAGGCCAAGATTTGAGGTCATGAACTTGACCGAGTCTTGAGTTCGTTCTCGATGAACACCGACCTGAGAGTGCTGCCGCGTTTGTGTGCTCAGTCTAGCAATAGACTATTGCAGCTCTTATTGTAAGCACGAGTCTATGAGAAATCACCGTTGGGTTCCCACCCCCTTAGACCCACCCAACAACAAGCGAAGGCTCTGGCGTGTCTGAAGCGTGATGACAACAACAAAACACGCAACACTACCACGACCATGCACCGACCCCGATATTTTTCTTGGGTGTTTTTGGGATAGGTACTGCATTTCGGAGTCTACCTCACTGCGAGGGCTAGCGGGCCACGCTTAACAGCATCGAGCGAGCCGACGTTCGCCCCGGCCATCATCAGGACCCTGGCCGCGGCCTCATGCCCGTGGAGCGCGGCGCGGTGCAAGGCACTCCTGTTGTCGTGGCACGAACACAGGGAACCCGAGGGTAAGGGAGCAGGGAGCAACGAGCCTGCAGGGATCCGATATATTTATCTGCTGTCAATGACTGATCCTTGATTAATGGCTTGTGTGTTGCCCTGGTGCCGGCCAGTCTATTGCAAATTGGAAATAGTTCCGGTTTCTACTCCCTCTGCCGCCGCGTTACATCGTGTCTCTCGCTCCGCTTACTGACCTTCGTTTGGAAGCCGAACGCGCGCAACGATCCGGAGTTGCACCCGCCCTCAGGATGGCCGAAACCACTTGTTCGTTGCCGCTTTCTGCAGCAGCGTCGAGAAGAGTGCGGCCGCGGCAGCCTCTTAGACCTGGACTTCCTGTGCCACCCGCTTTCAGAAGGGCGGTGACGAGCTCGAAATTTCCATTGGCTGCTGCGTGTTCTACCTGCTTGGTTGAATCACGAGCGTGGTTGAATCACGAGCGTGCGCGGATGGTGCACGCGTTGGCGTGTTGTTGAGTTTGGAAACATCTACAACAGTCCGTAGTCTTGGAGTATTTTATCGAGCACGCAAGCCGTGAGAAATTGAGGCAATCGTGTCTACTGGTAGGGGAGTGTAGTTTCCGGCACAACAAAGAACGTCAATGTTACGAAGAAATGTGGTATTGTTGTTCTGTTCTTGTGGTAGCTGCTAGACTACCTATCCATGTCATCCGCTATTCTTCATAGAAAACCACGAAAGCTACTGCCTCTACTTTACTTATTTTTCCAGTGCAACATGTTGCACGAATTTAGAACAAGTTGAGCCTATGTAAGAAATACGCATTTTCTAGAAAGATGCGCGCATTTCCCGCGTATGTGGACACGGCAAGATACAAGTGTTGTACAGCACGGTAGTCGACAATGACAAATTCCTCTCGGCCCATTCGGTACCCGTCACAATGTAGCACCTGCCTCGGAGAACGAAAGTCTCCACATGGGAAAATTCCGGGGTGCGGTAATCGACTTCCGCCCTGTTCTTGAGTGCCGAAGCAGAGCTGTTCGCCCTCCATAAGCTAGTACAGAAGTACATAGCAATTTCAAAAGCTGGGCCGACGGCACTGACAAGTACGGTAGTCCACATGGTGTGACGAGTGATTGAATGCATCCGATCTCCATGGCCGATTCCTTGTACCAAGGCCTACACGAGAGCCAGCGCAGCATATCTGTGGACTATCCAAATATATATGCGTTCATTGAGCGCGCGCGACATACACACCTCGGGTCGTCTGGTTTCGTGCGTGTCAAATTGTAGTCCTCACCACGATTCACCCTCCAAGACCCTCCAACACAAAAAACACCTCATCGCAGAGGTCATCGTACCGGCGCTCGGAGACAATCTGCCCATTGTCTGAGTGTTGCGTTGTCGATGACGAGGCCAACAAATTCCGAGCTTACAGCCCGAAGTGTGTCTCGCTCGGGGTAGCACACGGCGGGGTTCATTTCCCAAAGGCTCGTTTGATACTTGTCCAGTCTGTGTAGGCTGATACACACACGTTGTTGACACCGTAAAATTGCCGTTGCTGTTCGCCTTCCTGTGCTGGTTCTCCTACTACTGCTGCTGCTGCTACTGCTGCTGCTGCTGCTGCTCGTACCGCTGCTCCTATAGTACCACCCCGGGTGTCCTACTATGCTGCGACCCCCAACCCAACTGCCGAGATACGCATCATGGGTGCGGACGGGTAAATCCGAAATAGATTCGATTCTGTTTGTTCCCCCGGAACTGTCGCAAGGATCGACCAATCGTGCAACCAAAAGGCAACACGAACTGAAAGCAGAGTGCATAGCACGACTTTTTCCAACAGATGGCACACAAAGACGCACACCCTTTTCAGCAGTAGTGTTCGAGCTATAATACACAGCGAAGGCCCTCTCTGAAGAAATCATCCTAGAACTGCCCAAGAACGTCATCGAGACGCTTGTTTGCATACAACACGACGAAGGGAACCACCGGTGTCGCTTCCAACGAAAAAAATTACCCCTCGCTCGACTGGGAGGGGTATGTGTGTCTACATATGTGGGACAGCGGGAAGAGGGGCGGGGGGGGTTGCAGGGATAACCTACACTTCATGCATCACTGTTTTCAAGAGAACAACTTGAAATATGCAAGATGGAACGTGTGTTGCGTCCACTCCAGGTGTCCCTCGCACACCTCAATGAATGTACAACTTTATCCCGGCACGTGGTTGGAAAGGCTGACGCCACAGATGCTGCTATTGCACGTAGGCGCAATGTGGTGGACCCACTTGATCATGTTGAAGAGGCGCTCGCGGCCCTAGAACGACGCGAGGTACTCGAAGCATGATTCAGAGCACTACTTCTACATCATCAGTAGACCGGGAATGCAGCGCCACGTAGACCAACACACAAGTCTAGCAGACAGGAAAATATAATGGGAGGATGGGGAGGGTGCGCGTAAGCGATATATGCTGGAAATTGTGGGATCACTAAAACCCAGCAGAGTCAACCAATCACATGTGCTAAGACTACGGCCGGCAAGCTTAGACACGCCACCCTGACGAAGATCAACGAAACATCATGCTCACGAGCTTGCCACGCACGCATCATCCAAAAATACCAAATATGGTGCTGGCAAGCACACAGACGTCACTACTTGCTCTTCCACAAGTGAAGAAACTACTTTTGCAAATCCGGCCGCTGAGCGCTTGCTCATGATGCTTGACGCACGCAAAGTCTGCTACCTGATGCCATGGTCTGGCCATTTACAGCAGCCGTGATAATGTCACCGTGCATCCCTTTCCCCTCCCGTCCCTTCCGTGCCATACATGGTACCAACGGACACGCCGGGTGAAATGTTAGTCTAAGCGTACAGGCAATTTTACGATACCCCTCATTCCTCTCGCAGTTGCCGGTCCACCCTACCCTACCGATACATGAGGCCGGTTAGGCAACCAACGGTCACCAGAAGGAGAGGCGGCAAATGGGGAAAGCCCTGTCAACTCAATCGACCAAAGGTTGAAGGGCCGGGGTGTGTTCGCGTAATCGCCTTACTCCCGCACGCTTTCTACACATTTCCGGTGGATGACTCGCTTCAACGTGCCCAATACATCTAGGCGTATGGGATCGAACAGCACCCTATTGCACGCTGGATCTCTTAACTTCATATGGACATACACAAGTGACCAAGGGAGCACATCGATAATACAAGTGTCGCAGACTGTACAGCAGTACCGTCATGCGAGGATGGAATTCAAGGATTCCCCAGCAAAACAACCATCTAGAAGAGGTGCGTGGGAACACTGGTTTCTCCCAAGTCTCATGGCCGAGCCTAGTTGGCAACTCTGCGGTCGATGAAATCGGTAAGAGCTTCCACGATGATCCCCCGCTGTTCCTGCTCCGTGATGGTCGCCTGTTGCAAAAAGATATAGAAAAGACGTAACAGGGTATGTGTGCGAGGCCATGATGTGGAATGAGATATGACCGGTCACTGAATCCAATAGCCACTCGTGGGGGGAGGGATCAATCCCGCTCGCGCATCCCGCTATTTACGTCCAGGACGTTCGTGGAATGTATGTGTTGTTTTAAGATCGTGGCCATGCTGAACAAAAAGAGGTAGCGACCACTACCTGACACACGTGGAAAGAGTGCCCCTCGTACGCTCATCGAGAATAGAAAGAAGGTTCACAGCGTGTGGCGTTTCCTGCCTAACTCGAACCAATTAGCTCGGGGCTACGAGAACGCCTAGGCTGCTTCTGTTCAAAGCATCAATTGCCTCGGATCTTCACTTTGTCATTCTTCCGGCCTAGTGCACTTGGCAAGGAAACCACAAAAAGCGGAATTTGCGCAGCTCCTGCTTGCATACTACCTAAAAACCGACGTAATTTCCAGTGCGCTCGCCGTGTGTCATCAACATCAGGAGCAACCTCGTGCGTACTTGACGGTTTATCCGACGTGGGTGTGTGGTTTTCTACATACCTTCCCCATCTCTTACACGCACACACGACCTCATCACCTGCCAGTCGAGGGGCTGGCTCTTGTACGAACCGAAACCTCGGTGGCTTCCTCCTTCGACCACGACAATTTCGGCGCCCTTGGGCAGCTTGTGGGCGGATCTTGCCAGAGCCTGCTTTTTCGTGCAGACATCATGCAGGCGACAAGTGGTTGTTGGCCGACGGTCGTCGGTGTGTGAACACTGTACGCCACATTACGTTGGTGGGACGTTAATCTACATGACAGTCAACTGGCCTCTCCAACGCAGAGACCAGGCACGTGTATTACCAGCGGTATCCCAAGCTCGCATTTGCAAACACTCATGAGCACGTACTGCACGTGAGATGGCGCATGTACGTTAACCCACGGAAACCGAAGTAATTGCACGCACAGCAGAATTCGCAAAGCGACATACTGCACTGACTCGTCTTGTGCAAATGGCAAACAAAGACGAGAGAATACGTGGAAGTGCGAACACATAACAGTGCGAAACAAACAGTATCGCGACATCAACCCTCCACCTCCGAAATTAGTGTCACGACGAAATTCGCAAAGCCACATACTGCACTGGCTCGTCTTGTAAATGGCGCAGAACGACGAAAGTATCCACACGCGTGTCGTGTATACCGCGGCGGAGAGCACGTGTTTTGTACTTGTGGTTTGCACCTCTGCCGGAACGTACGGATCGCGAGATCCTCTCAGGACCATGGCCGGGACTTCCGACCCCTTCATGGCGTCGCCGATCTTGTTGCCGCTGCCCATGTACACCACGCCGTCCACGCTCTCCGGGTGTTCTGTGTAGAACTTTCACACGATCGTGCGCACGATGAGTGGATGCGAGTTCGCCCAGCGATTTAGCTTGCTACAGGTCACTCAATCTCGTCATTTCTTTCCTGTTGTACAACCCACCGGTGTGTCTCCGTCATTTGGACATGGCACCAGGAGCAACGCCTTTGATTTGTCATCCGTCATGATGCACGTCACAATATGCGGAGGAGCGATGCCCAAGCGCTTGGACGAATAGTCTGTTGCCGATCAGGGCTGCACTAGCTGGCTCGGGTTTGCGCGCCATCATCTCTCTGCGTTGAACGCTTTGTTAACAAGTCCATAATGTTCATTGACACCCCCCTCCGACAACAAAGGCTTCGACTTGAATCACGGCAAGAAGAGAACGATTTTCTCACCATCTCGATGCCCACCGTGCCCATGGAGTGTCCCGCGAGCACCCACTTGGTTGGCCGCGAAACAACGGCGGAGCAGCTCGCTCCTCGTTCCTCACCGTCTGCTGCTGGTGCCGAGCGCGAGATAATCTCGCTGGTTGTTTCCCACCCCTTGGTTGCTGCGGAGACAAACAACAAAGAAACGACGGTTGTATGGGTGTAGTCCTACTCCGCCGAGAAGAAAAGCTCATCAGCCATGGGACTTCTATAGCGTTCCCAAAAGATAAAATTACCCAACATCAACACTAAACACCCAAACGCTAGCTATTGATAACGCCCGCATCAAAACTATAATAAGCCCTGAAACGCCAGAAAGAACACGCAACCCTCCCCGCACCAAATGCCTCGTCCTCCTGGAACACCGTCACGAAAATTCGCGCCAGCAAAACTTCACGTGTGCCCAGCGAAGGCACTGCAAGTTGGCCACCGGTGTGTACATACTTCCCGTTGCTGCAGCTTACGTTCTCCGAGTCCTCGCGTAGCAGGTGTATGCATATCGAGCTCAAAAGCGTACACAGATGGTGAGCATCACTGCTCAAGATTGACTAGCAGGAAAAACAACGAGGGCGACAGTAATGCAAAATTGCGGTTTCCTGAAACTCTGTAAGCCAATCTACAACGTGGGTCGTGGTTGATGCAGTCCACAGAGGGAGCCAGAACCCGAGCTCCGGGAAGCGTCATGGAGAATTTAACGAAGGCGGTGACCTACCCGTATGGTACACAATGAAGGTGCTACTTTGACTCTCTCTCTCTCTCTCTCTCTCTCTCTCTCTCTCTCTCTCT